CAACAAACTAAACACAAAAAGGAGTTCTAAAGAAATTAGTTTTCAGTCTAGATGGAAAAGTGTATAGCTCCCTGTGGCTTACCTGTCAACCCCTTATCAGTGCCCTACCATATTACAAACCAATTCAGACCTTATTGGTCACCCCGTGCCCTCATAAATCTCAACGTTCATCCTACAAAGTCGCATCACAACGGGGAAACACAGCGACTTTTGTTGCCCGTATTGAAACGGCTGTGCGCCGTATAGACCTGAAAACTCCATGTCCCTGCACAAGAATACAGAGTAAGCCGTGCGGGTTGACAAGTATGAAAACCCCACGTTTTAAGTGAAGGTGTTGCGAGTTGCCACACATCGTACCTGCGCAGAACACATTCCTGCGGAGGGAGCTGGTAGGAACGTTGGGTTGCTCGGTCAATGGCCAGGGTCAAAGGCGGCGTGGTGTATTCCGCAAATATGCCCGACTGTGAGGGCGGGCACAAGCCGGCGTGAGTAGGTTAAACGTTGAGTTTTATAAGGGCACCACGGGGTGACCAGCCCGTCTTCACCCAGCCCCACCCCTCCCACCCCCCACCCAGCCCCACCCTCCCCACCCAGCCCCTCCCCACCCCTCCCCACCCAGCCCCTCCTCACCCTCCCCACCCAGCGCCACCCTCCCCACCCAGCCCCTCCCTCCCCACCCAGCCCCTCCCCACCCTCCCCTCTCCACCCAGCCCCTCCCATCCCATTTTTGGATGCACGACGGACGGACGGACACAATAATCCCCTGTGGGCTGGTGTAACCAGGAGGTTCCTGCCAGTATAATGGATTTCTACTCTACAGTGAATGTCTACAATAAGTCAACGCGAGTAATACAACACATAATGAATCACTCATGAAAAAAATTGCCTTTCTACAGGGAATACAATAGCTACCATACCTGCACAGTTAACTCAACACATTCATCATTGACAGTGGCACACTGTTGGCCTTCAACGGAAGAAACAAGAAGCGACTTCTCGGGCAATTGTCATTCTTCATAGCGCATTACATGATTTACTTATGCGCTATACGTGTGCTAAATTGCCAGCGTGGAAAATAATGCGTGTGTATGCATGTGAATAAAGAAATACATTGCGTGCTCCGAGGCAGGGCCATCGTCCGAAACGTCCCCTGTTGTTTCCTTTTAAGGCCCACAGTGTTAGGTTTGTTGTTGTTGTAAACTTGACATTGTTTGTTTCGTTATTATGTGACGCATGTGGTGAATTGGAGAACGCATTGTTGAAATTAATATAAAGCGTAATAATATTGAGCGTAATATTAATATTGAGTGTAATATTCATCATCATATTAATATTCTTGGTTCTTTCGGTAAAGTCACGTGAAGGGAAACAATAAAAATATAAAACAATAAAATTCTCACGACGTTTCGACTGCAACACAAACAATCATCATCAGGTGTGAAAACCACAGTAAGAAAATTTGAAAAAAGTGGCGCTTTTTGAACGTTAGCACCACGGAGAGCGATTTGGCAGTTATTCAGATGGACGAGTCCATCTATGTTCGGAATAGAGGAGGGGGGAGACGAAAATAATGGATGCGGTCTGAAAGCAACCGTAAGCGTGAACAATCAATTAAGACCCGAAATGGTTTATCAAATCCTTCCAATGATGGCTAAGCCAGAATCCATCTTCTCGGTTGAAATTGTCTCTGTGTTTGTATATGTGGATAGCCTCATGAACGAATCTCTCATGGTAGCCAGATGGCTTGCAGATAACCTCTGTCTTGGAGAAGTCAATGTCATGTGAGCCTACTGAATTATAACAGTGATCTTCCACGGCCGAGGTGTTGGTCCTACCGTGTTTTAGGTCTGCTTTGTGTTCAGGTCTTAATTGATTGTTGACGCTTATGGTGGCTTTCAGACCGCATCCATAATTTTCGTCTCCCCCCTCCTCTTTTCCGAACATAGATGGACTCGTCCATCTGAACTGTCAAATCGCTCTCCGTGGTGCTAACGTTAAAAATAACCGCCACTTTTTTCAAATTTTCTTACTGTGGTTTTCACACCTGATGATGATTGCTTGTGTTGCAGTCGAAACGTCGTGATAATTTTATTGTTTTATATTTTTATTATTTTATTGTTTCCCTTCTACGTGACTTTACCGAAAGAACCAAGAATATGAATCCCTGCAGTCATGAAAGCTTTAAATCAAAAACGTAATATTAATATTGAGTGTAATATTAATATTGAATGTAATATTAATTGTAATATTAATATTGAGTGTAATATTAATATTCAATGTAATGTTAATTGTAATATTAATATTGAGTGTAATATTAATCATAATATTAATATTGAGTGTAATATTAATTGTAATATTGAGTGTAATATTAATATTGAGTGTAATATTAATCATAATATTACATTGAGTGTAATATTAATATTGAGTGTAATATTAAGTGTAATATTAATATTGAGTGTAATATTAATACTGAGTGTAATATTAATATTGAGTTTAAAATTAATCATAACATTAACATTGAGTGTAATATTAATGTTGAGTTTTATATTAAAATTGAGTGTAATATTAATCATATTAATATTAATAGTAATTAATATTGAGCGTAATTTTGGACTTCAAACTTTCGTGACTGCAGGAATTCATATTCTTGGTTCTTTCGGTAAAGTCACGTAGATAGAAAAGAAAAGAAAAAGATAATAAAATTGAAATAAAAAATCTTATTTTAAATGTATTATTTTAATTTGTAAATTTTTTTATTTTTTTATTTTTTGATACTAGTTAATATTAGTCTCTTGATATTACGCTCAAAATTAATATTACGCTCAAAATTAATATTACGCTCAATATTATTGGTTCTTTCGGTAAAGTCACGTAGAAATAAAATAAAATATAATAAAATACAAATTTAAAATACAATTATTTTCAATGTCTTCTTTTAAATTTGTATTCAATTTAATTATCTTGAGCGTAATATTAATTTATTTTGAGCGCAATATTAAGAGACTAATATTAACTAGTATCAAAATTTATATCAAAATAATATTAATAACAAAATAGCGACAAATATCGCCACCAGAGCGATGTAAACACAGAAGCCCAAGACACTCCCCCCCCACCACTTAAACAACGCGATCCAGGAATTGGCACGTGCATCGATTGCCCCAACGTGCCACAACCGCATTGTTTAGTAATCGAGGAATCGACACGTGAGCATTGAGCGAAAGTGTAATTTGACGACGCGATTCGGCGCGAGCACAAACACTGAAAGGAAGTCGAATCGAGGCGCCCGTGCACCGGAAGCGGAAGTCTAGCGAAGCCGGGTTCACGCCGTGAGGGTGAGGACGGATCCCGCGAGGTCCCCGCGTTAGAGGATTGGGGACCCCTCACGGGCAGCAGCAGCGGGGGGTAGAGAGAGGGGTAGAGAGAGGGGTAGAGAGAGGGGTAGAGAGAGGGGGATCCCTCACGGGCAGCAGCAGCAGCGAGGGGTAGAGAGAAGGGGACCCCTCACGGGCAGCAGCAGCGAGGGGTAGAGAGAGGGGTAGAGAGAGGGGGACCCCTCACGGGCAGCAGCAGCGGGGGGTAGAGAGAGGGGGACCCCTCACGGGCAGCAGCAGCGAGGGGATAGAGAGAGGGGACCCCTCACGGGCAGCAGCAGCGAGGGGATAGAGAGATGGGACCCCTCACGGGCAGCAGCAGCGAGGGGTAGAGAGAGGGGGACCCCTCACGGGCAGCAGCAGCAGCGAGGGGTAGAGAGAGGGGGACCCCTCACGGGCAGCAGCAGCGAGGGGATAGAGAGATGGGACCCCTCACGGGCAGCAGCAGCAGCGAGGGGTAGAGAGAGGGGGACCCCTCACGGGCAGCAGCAGCAGCGGGGTTAGAGAGAGGGGGACCCCTCACGGGCAGCAGCAGCGGGGGGTAGAGAGAGGGGGACCCCTCACGGGCAGCAGCAGTAGCGGGGGATAGAGAGAGGGGTAGAGAGAGGGGGACCCCTCACGGGCAGCAGCAGCGGGGGGTAGAGAGAGGGGGACCCCTCACGGGCAGCAGCAGCGAGGGGATAGAGAGAGGGGACCCCTCACGGGCAGCAGCAGCAGCGAGGGGATAGAGAGAGGGGGACCCCTCACGGGCAGCAGCGAGGGATAGAGAGAAAGGGGGGGACCCCTCAGGTGCAGTAGAGGGGAGAAGACAGAGAGAGGGGGGCCCCTCACGGGCAGTAGAGGGGGGGAGACAGAGAGGGAGACCCCTCAGGGGCAGCAGCATACATCAGTGAGCGGGAGATCCCTCGCTGACATCAGCGGGTAGAGGAAACACGTAGCAACTGTGGGTAAGCACACGACCGCGGTGATAACGCGCTACGAGACAGGCGTGGGGAGACCGAGACACGGGGACACTGAGGGAGATACGGCGAGACTGGCACGGGAAGACCGAACAAGGCACAGGTAGACTGAGACACGGGGATACCGAGACAGAAGGAGACTCTGGAGCAAGGCACGGGGAGATTGAGAGACATGTGCGTATTTAAGGAGATACGGGGAGACTGAGACAGTAGGAGACAACCGGGGATTGAACAAGACACAGGGGATTGAACAAGATACAGGGGATTGAACGAGAGACAGGGAGACATGGGATTGACCGAGACACAGGGAGACAGGGGATTGAACGAGACACAGGGGATTGAACGAGACAGGGAGACAGGGGATTGACTGAGACACAGGGAGACACAGGGGATTGACTGAGACACAGGGAGACACGGGATTGAACGAGACAGGGAGACAGGGGATTGAACGAGACACAGGGGATTGAACGAGACACGGGATTGAACGAGACACAGGGAGACAGGGGATTGAACGAGACACAGGGAGACAGGGGATTGGATGGGAGACAGGGGTTTGAACAAGACACAGGGAGACACAGGGGATTGAACAAGACACAGGGAGACAGGGGATTGAACGAGACACAGGGAGACACGGGATTGAACGAGACAGGGAGACAGGGGATTGAACGAGACACAGGGAGACAGGGGATTGAACGAGACACAGGGAGACAGGGGATTGAACGAGACACAGGGAGACAGGGGATTGACTGAGACACAGGAAGACAGGGGATTGACTGAGACACAGGGAGACAGGGGATTGACCGAGACACAAGGACACAGGGGATTGAACGAGACGGGATTGACCGAGACACAGGGAGACAGGGGATTGACCGAGACACAGGGGATTGAACGAGACACAGGGAGACAGGGGATTGAACGAGACACAGGGAGACAGGGGATTGACCGAGACACAGGGGATTGACTGAGACACAGGGAGACAGGGGATTGAACGAGACACAGGGAGACAGGGGATTGACTGAGACACAGGGAAACACAGGGGATTGGAACGAGACACAGGGAGACAGGGGATTGACCGAGACACAGGGAGACACAGGGGATTGAACGAGACAGGGAGACAGGGGATTGACCGAGACACAGGGAGGCGTCTCCAACTTGTAATTCAGCGCCACGCCACCGCCGGCGCCCCCTGGATCGGTCGATTTCAGAGTCGCCGCCAGCTGCGGATCGAATCGAGATTACCTCTAAATCCGGATTAATCCACTCGCTGCCGTCCAGCATTCACGGAGCGGGGTGGTGCCGAAACGTCGTCTCGTTACGGTCCGTTGCATCGTCGCTCATCAGCGGGCTCTGGGCGGAGCGGCGTCCGAGCCCCAAGCGTGCCCAGTTGTGTGGTGGTGGGGAGGGTTTTGGTGAAATATGATGGCTTTTGTCCGCTGTGGCGGTGTTTTGGATTTCATCTCAGACTGAGAGGGGGGTGGTGGTGGCTGCTGCTGCCTTTGGACCGGACCCGTGGCCTGCCACGCTGCGGCCTTTGTCCTCGTGTCGCAGCAGAACGCAGCCCTTAACGCGATTTTGTTTTAACACATTTACAAAAAAACGTGGAATAATCACCCAAAGGGGGTTATCGGCACGAATTATTAATCCTACGTGTATAGATTTCATAACGCCTTATTGCAAAGCGCTTTACGGCAACTGTAACATTGTACATAAGGTGATTGTGGTTGAGATAAAGTGACGTTAAAAGTGGCGATATAAGTCACGGTTTTTGTGTTCAACACCGGACCGCTGCCTTGGGTCAAATCCACTTCACGCTAAACTGCATGTGCCGAAGCAAGTTGGGGCAGCGTTGTCCGTGTCATTGTATTTTTTAAAGTCCACGCTCCAGTCGCCGCATTCTCTTTTGCGAGCTGCGCTTAAAGCGTCAGATCCCTCGTGGGTAATCCAGCACAGTGTAGTTCGCGCCTGCCTGCGGGAATAAGTCCGCCGCGTTCCGTGGCTGTGGAGGTGAACGCCAGCGGTTGCCGATCGATGTATCGTCGGCACGGGTGAATTATTTTACGAAGGTAACTCGCGCGACGAAGGCACAGGAAGAAGAGGAGGAGCCGACGTTCCGGGGCCGTGGCTGGGCGACACTTTCCTCACGCCCTGAATTATTTAATGTCCCCCCCCCCCCTTTTGCATGGCAGTGTCTGGTGTCACGGTCTCACAGACTCGTTCACACTGTAGCGAGAGAGAGGTGCGGATAGGGTTATAGGAGTTAACATTTGGACTGCTATTGAGACGCCTGGGAGGTGTGGGTGTGAGGCTGTGTAGCTTTGTTGTGCATTACATGAGGTTTTTTTTTACTTTAGGCTGACCGGTTTTACAACACAGGACCTGTGACTTTACAAGAACAACGTGCTGTAGGAATACTCTACGGCAGAGTGCTGCAGTGTTACGTGCGGAGAGCCGTATTAGAAGCCAGATGCAACATGGTGAGTAGTGACCGGTGTCTGGTAGGATGGTTCATTATCAAATGTAACTACGGCTGTGAAAAAAGTGGACACACAAATTTAGGACGTCTCATCACTGGAAGCCGGGTTAAACCAAGAGAAAGGACCCACACGTGGCCACCTCTGCCTTCCACGTGCTGACTTTCTGATGCATCGCGAAGTGTTCGTTTGAGGGGGCTCGGCAAATTTTTGGCGTAGCACATGCCGCTGGTGTCGTGCGCGGTTGAAACTCGATCCCGTGCCACTGGGATCATTGTGCAGTGCGCAAACGACTGCAGCAGCGGTCCACATACAAGGACGCATAGAGATAGAGGCACACGCAGGCATACACTCGCAAAACATCCACACGACGACACCGACTCGCAGATACGTAGACATACAGACGCAGACCGTAACATAGATAACGCGCATACAAACCGCCGCAGACTAACAGGAATGGGCATCGGCCGCTGAGGACGCGGCTGGCGGGAGCTGCGGGCCCGTGGCACGCGGCGGCGATGGAGCGCTCGAGAGAGATGCCGGCACCCGGCCGCTTCGAGGGCGGCGACACGTCGCGCACTCGCTGGACCCACGAGGAGACGCTGGCGTTGCTCTCCATCCTCAAGCAGATGAACGTTGGCGGCGCGATGGACGCCCGCAACCAGCGCAACACTCCCTTTTTCCTGCGCGTCATGGAGCTGCTGCGCCAGCGCGGTATTGCCTGCTGGACCCTGACGCAGGTGCGTGTGCGCTGGAAGAACCTCAAGGCGCGCTACCTGATGGCGCGGAGGGCTCGCGAGCGTGGCGGGGGAGGTGGCGGTGGCATAGGGGGAGCGGGCGGTGGAGTGAGGGACCGCGGCAAGGGCGCCTTCGCCTACTTCAAGGAGATAAACGAGATCATCGGAGGGCGACCGTGCGTGGCCGTCACTCGGGAGGGCCACAGGGCTGGTGTCGCTGGGGATCGGCACGTGGAGCCCGGCGATCGACGGTGCTACGGTACGGGCTCGGCTTTAGGTTCTGTTTTAATCGTTTTCATCGGGTTCGATCTCGTTTGTGCTGTCGGCAATGCTGCATGTTACAGAATGGTCCGTGGATATATCGGAGAGCTGCGTCTGAAATCTCATCACGTGACCACTGGTCCACACAGTAGGAGACGACAATTTCCTACTCGCTCTGCCGCCAAGAGTAATGTTTGCTGTATGCTATAAAAAAAAATTCTCAGAGGTAGAAATTTTGTCAAATTAACTGTAGAATTGTATGACAATGTTAAAAAAAGAACAATTCCAGGCTGAGACCATCAGCTCGTTTCACCAAAGAACTCGGTTTAAGCACAGGCAGCTGCTACTCCAGCCCATGATCTGAGTGGTGCCACCGGACACTTACAATTTTATTTGTGTCCAATGGTTGTGTGGTGATGAAACCGATGCTGGGTCGCCAGTTAAAAAAATAATGTCACCCATTTGTCCAGGAGAAACTTACTGAGTCTCAACTTCTGGAGGGTCCTGGATTGTGATTATTTATTCGCCTGCATTTTTTTTAGTAAATTGCTTTATCTGGAAGGACACTGATATACCCTGATGGAGAACTCACCATTCACATGACAGGATAGCACCCACATGTCCACAGAGATGGGTTCACAAATCCACTTTCTCTAAAAAAACTATCTTGCTCAACCAAGTTGAAGACAGATTATTGGTGGGTCATGGTTAAAATATAATGGGCAGCACTAGGAGCCAAGCTAAGGCATTCTAATAATGCCACGTGGTGCGGAAGGAATGTTTTACTCGGATGAGGGCGTGTGTTTGCCTAGAGGGGGAGCTCTCTTGGAGCTGAGGGTTGTAAAGGTGAGAAGACCCTTTCTGACTTGGTGATGGCAGAACGTGAGCAAAACAGCTGCAGATGATGAGAACACATCGCCTGAGAGTCGACGGGGAAAATGGACACTGAATTGGCGATGCTGATGTGTTGCCCGCGACGTTGAACAGAGTTCCGGGAGGAAGACCACGTGGAGCCTAATTTCAAGCAGGAGGCCATGGAGTCGAAGTCTCATTCTCCACCGTACTTCGCGGAAGTGGAGGTGTCTGGTGAGTCGCAGTATGTTACTCGTGGCTGCACTCGATCAGCTAAACAAGACATTAATCGCCAGAGGCGGCCAGAGATCCAAGCGCTGAGCTGGCGTGGCTGAGATCCAGGTTTCGAATCCAGATGGCCGCATGTGATTAAACCGGCCTTTCCTGTGTGTAAGGAGTTGATGGTCTCAGCCTGATCGCCAGTTACTATTAAAAGCCCATTGCATTAAACTTGATTCCGCGCCTAATTTGGCTTAAATCCAGCGCTGGAGTATTAAACATATCGGTTTCACCGTCATGCGACGGAGATTACACCCTCGACGGCAGAGTGGTTGTCAAAGGGCTGCCCGCTATTGTTTGGACCAGGGGTCACTTGAAGGCATCTCGGAGGCAGCTCTGTGATATCCACTTCTGTGGGCCATTCTCTTAACATGTAGGTTGCACTGCATGTCATGAGATCTGATTGGATGGATTATTTGCCTCTTGATGTGACGCCGATAGCATGGGATAAAATTTGGGCAAAAAAATATTTTTAAATAATAAAAAAAACGAATCGCCAAACCCAGGGCGCATACACTGTATAAAAACATACATGCACAAGGGTACAATACATACGTGTGGAATGGAATTGCGACCCCGTGAAGGGGAGTAAATTGTTCCATGCCTGGTGGTAAAATATCCTTCAATTGTCATTGATCACTTCTGTTCATGCCGCTGTTGGATGCTTGTAGGGGATGAAAAGCAAGGATGGGGGGAGAGGCTCCCATCTATTTATCTCCTGTCTTACGGGGATTGGATGCAGGGTTTACGGATCACATGGACATGGCACAGGGAGTGAAGGAGGAGGTGGAGGATGATGTCGAATCCTACTCGCCCCAGTGCAACTTTGAGGGCGACACCGCAGGTGAGTGGGTCTCCGTCGCGCGCCCTTCCTGAGCCGAGTGCCGAACGGAACCCACGGAGGTGACGTTCATTTCCAGTGCTGCTATGGGCGTACATTTAACTATTTCCCTTTCCGAGATGTCTGCACGTTGCAGGGTGGGTGTCCTGTTCACCGCTGAATCCCGCAACGCGCAAGCGGTTAGCGTTCATTTTATTTAGAGAAGCGTAGTAGCGCCGTTGTTTTTAAAGACATTGTACTCACCGCGGAGAACTGTAGCGATACGACCGCGCTACATGATAGCTGGCGCCAAGCTGTGTCATACGCCATCCCGCATGGCCTTGCTTGTGGGAGTTTCGATACCAATAAAGTTATCTTAGTTTTTCCTCTGGTTCCTATTGGAAAATGGTTAATCGCTCCATCCCGCCCGCCGCCGTCATTCCGGCAGGTTGTTCGCAGGGAAACGCTTAACATCCTTAGCCTCTGACTTGTATTTGCCAGGCACCGCGTGCATCGTCCCACGGAGCTGGACGTCGAACGTCGATGTGACCGGCGAAAGTGCGGCTCCCTCCACGTCGCTGGGCGGCGCCGTCCCACCGCGGCCCTGCAGCGGCGGCGGCGGCGGCAGCTCGAGCGACGGCTCGGGCGCCGGCGACCTGCCGGCGCAGCAGCGCGCGTACCTCGGGGCGCAGGAGCGCATGCTGCTGCGGCTGCAGCGCAGCAGCCAGGAGGCGTCTTTCGCGTTCCAGCGCGAGCTGCAGGCCGACGAGATGCGCCTCCTGGAGCCGCACCTGCAGGCGGCCGCCGGCGTCGCCGCCTCCTTCCTGGGCGTCATGGAGCGCTTGTCGTCGCTGCTCGAGGCCACCGTGCGGGACCTTCCCTTCGCGAGCTCCGCGGCGATGACGGCGGCGGCCGGCGATGACCGCGCGCCATCGTCGCCGACGCCGCAGACTCCGGGCCAAGCGCCCCCCACCTCGAACCAGTCACGCGGAGAACAGGCGGCACCGCCGCGGTCGCCCCCGCACCACCGCCGCCACCACCACCGCCGGCACCACCTTCACCACCTTCACCATCAAGGGCTGCTCGCGGACGCGGACGTGGACGGGCCCGTTCCCTCGCTGGGTCCGCACGGACGCGCGGCCAACGGAGATCGATCCCACGGCGACGAGACGGAGACGGAGACGCCGACGGCGGCTAGTCCTGTGGCGGGCACGGCGGCGGCGTCGTCGGCGGCGAGGAGGGACGCGCGAACCCCACTGCTCGCCACGTCGTCGCCGCCCCGGCGCTTGGGCTACGGAGGACACAAGCTGCCCGCGCGGTTCAGGACGGCCGAGAAGTAGCACTCGCGCCCGCCACGGGTGGGCGTGATCCGTGCGCTGCGCAGGCGGTTAGAGAGAAATTGACTTCGGACGCTGATGGGAAGCAGATGCTTGTCTTAGGATGCTCCCAGCCCAGGGTGCAGAGCCACGCTCTGGCTTTCTAGGTTTACCAGTTGGCGGACTGAAGCAAAACACGGGTTGTGGACTGGCTACCACTTGCATTTCTTGTTGCGTCGTTCAAGTCTGAAGGTGCCTTGGTGATTCGTGCGCAGATGTTAAGCGTCTTTTCAACCTCATCCTATTACGGTTTGCATTTACTTAATAGTGAACACGCTGAATTGGTCTTAAAAGCACTGTTCTCGTTGCGACTTCTGCTGTAGTGCGGTACCTGTGGCTTGAGCACTTTGACCCCGCAATCGGAAGATTGTGAGTTTAAATCGGAGCCTGTGGAGAACACGGGCCCCTTTCATAGAGATGTGGAATTGACGCCACTGGCTCATAGCCAAAATCATGGAAATGAACAGCACAACCTAATCAATCTCATTTGAGCAGGGAGACACTTTTGACGGGTTTTTTTTTTACACTTTAGCTGAAATTCCCCAAGGTTTGGACCAAGTGAACGAGCTGAGCAGAGGAGCTGGCATGAGCTGGCACGTGGACGTACGCCAGCTGGTCGAGCAGTGAGAGTCGTGACATGGACCGAAATTTGACGGAGCTGAAGTTTTCTTGAGCCATAGTGAGACTTTATCGTTGCAATTGTTGGCATACAAGGTAGAGAAGAATTGCGTTTTTACTTCATGTACGTATTGTGCACCTGTTACACTGACGTTATTGTTTTCAATGTTAAAATTGTATCATTGCAACACTGAATAGTCAGGATTGGCGGATGTGTGGAAGGGTTGGACCGTCACGGGGCGTGAACACTAGCTTTTGAAATTGGCCATCGTCACGATTTTTAACTGTTGAGAAAGTAAAACCAAAAAGGTTTTTTTTTTAATTCAAATAAGTGCAAACACGAGAGCGGTTGTAGAAATGCGTGCAAAGAACAAACCTGGCCAAAAAGTGAGAACCATGCTCCATCCTCACTGCACACATTCATTGTTTTTAGGGGGAAAAGCAGTTTTATATTTTTCCCCCCTCTCGCATAATGTCAATATAAAAAAAATAGTGGATAGAGCAGAGAGGCATGCCTGACTGTGTGCTGCTTTTTTTGTCTTACTGTGACGTTAATCTACTGGAATTTAATGCTGGTCAGTCTCGGCTCACTTGGGTTTGATGGGAGCGTTGTAATGCTCTTGTGATTTTGTTTTTTTCTAGACAACTGCTGGTTGGTGTCGTCATCCGTTGTGAGCTGTTGTGCAATGACGGATCGGTTGTGTGGGACATGTTTTTTTTGAGCATCTGCTCTCCTTGTCAACTCGATTCAGCCTAATTCTAGACGAGGTCAAAACAACATAACGGTTCCCAACACAAATGAGCGTGGGGTTGTCCTGTGCCGAAAGGTGGAAACCCCACGTTTCGACCACTCCTGGTTTACGGCTGTGAATTTCACGTTTTGGAGGTGGCTCTGTTTTTCCCCCGATACTGAATGCGAACAAGAAAAATGAAAGGGGGCTCTCACGAATTTGCCACAGGTAAGGAAACATTCTTTGGTTTATAGCTCAGGCCCACTGAGCCATGTAGCTCTTTTTTTAAGAAGCAACCTGGCCACAAATGATAGCTCAACGAAGTAGCTCATCAGGTGGAAATGTATAGCAGCCAAAAACTCGAAATGCATATTGATTCTAAATGTGGAGGGGAAAACCCGGAGAAAAATCCACGTGACCATGGGGAGAGAGACATGAAAACTCCAAATATACAGGCGTCAGGTTCGAACCCACGACCTGTATACCAGGCGAGATAGTTAACATTCTGCCACCGCGGCGCCCATCGATCAATGGTCTTGCACTGCCATCTGGAAGGATCAAGAAGTTGAGTCTGCCCATGCTAGAGATGCAGTGACTGCCTCAACAAGCAGGAACTTGCAAGGGAAGAATGTAGGTCTACAGGAAGTGTCGATCGCCATGGCCAGAGATGGGAAGTAGCGGACGTTTATCCATACTTAACGTCAGCCACCATGTACCGACTGACAGTAGAGGCAAAGGCAGGATGCCACGTGGGCACGTCACGACAGGTTATGAGGATGTTTTTAAAGCTGTGGTGAAAGTCTTTAAAGTGTCTCCATGCTCAAGCATTGGGACAGCACCCATCTCCATAATTGGCAGCCCTGGGCCAGTGTTGGAAATTCCACATTCCCATGGTGGGATCCATTGACTGCATTAGATGACCACTGTTAACTGTTCGCAGAAGTGGTGCTGTTTGTTTTTACTCTTTGGAAGGACGATTGGCTGAGCCAAACTCCCGATTTAACTAAAACAGTTTTTAAAATGTAAAAAAAAATATTGAAATGTATTGCAGAGGTAAGGACAGGAGCCAGTCGTGAATGAGATGCTGATCCAGCATAGGGCACGCTTTAGGACCCAACATTTTACAGAAACTGCTGCTGTGCTGCATTAGTATTAGAATTAGATAATTTTGAGACAGTGGCTGGTGACAAGCATTAAGATGAGGAATTAAGTATTTAATAGATGGTTGGATGCATCGAGCTCAAGTTCATGGCCACACACGCGGTCTATTTTCGTCAACAAATTCAACCACTCAAAAGTTTGTCAAGACTGTAATATACATTTTTAGGCATATGAGACTGTAAAAGGTAACATTTTAAGAGAATTTGCAAGCTGTAGCTCTTCATTTGTAAATTGTTGGGGGGGGGGGGGTTTGTAAGAAAAAAATAAACACGTTGTGAAGACTTAACGCTTTCGTGACTGCAGGGCTTCATATTCTTGGTTCTTTCGGTAAAGTCAAGTAGAAGGGAAACAAAATAATAAAAATATTGTTTTATATATTTATTGTTTCAGCTTTACCGACTTACCCCCCTTACCCCCTCGGCACGGCCTTTCGACTGCTTGCACCACGATTACACGTGATACATACGCCATGAACTAATCACAAAAGCGGCTCTTCTTACCTCTTAGTGGAAGGGGGTCCCGTGACAGCAGCGTGTGAATAAAATGCATGGCTCTTCATGTATAATGCAGGGCGCCGCTTGCGCGCGTGCTAGAACACGCTGGCGGTGGCACTGGCCCAGGATGCCATTCCGCAGGCGAGGTCTTGTACATTGGGCCAGCCATTGTAATCGGCGTTGCCCATCGCTTATATGAAGCCAAAGTATGTTTTTTATTACTACGATTGTTTTACCCAGGAAAGCCTCACCGAGTCTCAAGACTCTTTTCAGGAGGATCGTGTGGGTGGAAAGGCACACGAAGTCGTAGGACTTTTTTAAGAGGGTCCTGCCACGCTGAGTTCATACAAGTGGGACAAAACCGGAGCACCCGGAGAAAACCCCCACGCGTGCGAGAGGTTCCAACACTCTATCCCCGTACAGATGGAATACACAGACGGCGATTAGTCCACTTGCCGTACTGCCTTCTTGTTCGCGAGGCAGAGGTACGAAACCTCGACGCCCACGGGAAGGGAGTCACAACGCGGGTGTGTGGTGATCCGCTAATCCTCGCTGCTACAGCCACAGGTGCTGGGTTACAGGCCGCCACGTGCAGCATCGTAGCCGTCGCCGACACCGCCCAGCTATTGCTGCGCCTTCCACGCGGTTGCCATTCGGAAGGTTCACGTCGCCGTGATCTCCCGTCGCGCGATGCCGGCCCGGTCCACGCGTGAGAAAGGCAACGGGGTGTACCCGGCCTCGGGCCAATTGTGGAAATCTCAGCCCCTGTGGCAGAAATCAGGGGTCGCGTTGATAAGCAAGATCTCGGTGCCGTGCCCGTATAGTAATATACACGTGTGCGGCATGTCACGGCTGCGTAAAAAATGCCCACTTAGCTGTACTGTACAGCTCTTTTTCAGAAGCGACCTGGCCACAAATGATGGCTCAGCGAAGTGGCTTATTATGGGGAAATTGATTGCAGGCAAATACTCTAAACGCGTGTTTCTAAATGTGGAAGGGGAAAACCCAGAGGTCTCGGAGAAAAATCCACGCGACCACGGGGAGAAAGAGACACATGTAAACTCCAAATATACAGCAGCAGGCGTCAGGGTCGCGATCGAACACACGATTTCCTGTATACCAGGCAAGGTAGTTAACATCTCACAGTCACTGATGATGATGAAAGAGACACATGTAAACTCCAAATATACAGCAGCAGGCGTTAGGGTCGCGATCGAACCCACGATTTCCTGTATACCAGGCAAGGTAGTTAACATCTCGCCAACGTGGTGCCCATGTATGCTAATATATATTGTACATAGGGCGGACGTGTTTGCTAATTCAGCGGTAACTCGTATGTATGTATGTTGAACTTCTTTCGCACCGTAAGTAGCCAACCGTGCTAATCGCAATGCTCCCAACTGTGGCATTGCGGGAAAATAATTTAAAGTTGCAAAACCGCGTACAGCGTTGTGCTTTGTGAGATATCCCGGGGTTTCCCTCGGTGTCCAGGAGTTCCTATTCGGCTGCTCAGGGCTGGTTGAGGCTCTGCTATCAGACAGCAGCGCCTCCACCACCCGCCACCACCACCCGCTACAACCACTACCCACTACCATCACCTACCACCATCATCATCATCACCACCACCAACCACCACTATCACCACCCGCCACCACCATCACAACCACAATCCAAAAATCCAAAGATAAGGATCCACCGTATAGCCTTAACAGACTTTAGGGGCAAGTGATGTTAGCGAGCACCTTTGGAAGCCGGCACGGCACACGAGGGGGTGGGTGGCCAGCACCACGCCCGCACACCTTTGTCTCCCTAGTGGCGATGTTTACTACACACCGCACCAGGTACTCATTTGACACTGAGTCGATCTAGGGGAGGCCCAAGGACCGGTTTAGATAATCATCACCGGTGTTGGCCGTTGGTGGGAATCGAACTCTGGCCGCACGGGTTCGTAGCGCTAACCACTCCACCACCGCTCCCCATACACCACTTCAGCGCTCCACTGGCGGCCCCTGGTGACCTTTAGCCCCCCCCCCCCCCCCCCCCCACAATGCACGAATGGTGACAAACACCCCTCGCAGTCGGTATGGCGGCGGCCCTCACAGTGACGATGTCTCATCGGCGAAAGTCCCCCCCCTCCCATCTGAAAAGTAGTGAAGAACACTGAAACTCAACCATCTACAACCACCACCACTGGCTCAGCACACCGCTCGTGTTGCGCGCAGGAGAGGGATCGAGCATGGCTGCTCACTCTCTCCGGCCGGCGAGTCAGAGGATCCCCGCCTCGGTGGAGCTGACTCGGCAGGTCTTCCTCCCCCACCACCACCACTAACCCCGAGTAAACAATGCGACGTTTTTCACTGCGCGATTGCGCGCTTCACATCAGTGGTCGCGAGCCCCCCGTGTGGCATTCGGGACCCGGGACCCGGGCAGAGAGAGAGAGAGTGGCATGGTCCTGCCCACTGCGCGTGGCGTGATAGCCCCGGCATTACAGCCCTGACTGGTGAGTTGTTGTGTACTTACATACACGTAATACGGCCCTTTGACAATCCACTGCTGGATGAAGGCCACTACAATCGGGTTGCCACTGGTCTGGGTTTGACCCGGACATTCCGGGTATTGGCACGCATCTGTTCTGGGTGACAGGAATTGCTTTATATCGCCATCTGGTATCCGTATTGCGTTAAAACAAATGTTTTGCAGTTAACCGCACAGTTTTGTCAATAGACCTCGGTTGACTGAAAACGATGCTTGGGGTTTGGTGGAGGGTGGACAAAGTGGTTCTTGCGTACGATGGCAAGCGGCGAAATGTTCGAAATGCCAATGTGGAGGTCTGCTACTCGCCACGAGATCTCTTCACGAGAGAGAGAGAGAGTGGAGTTTTGCTGTCCCTCCTCCGGTGAAGGGGCGCAGACGACAGTGGGTTTATGAGGTTTGTTTTGGGTTAGATCGCGTAAATAAATAAATGTGTCGTTAAAACCCGCCACCACCCGACACAGCCAACTAGTAAGGATGGTCACGTAAACAGAACGTGGCCAATTCTTCACTAGTACAGCACTAACCGGTGTGTTGGAGAGCCAAGCCACAATATTTACAAACTTGAGTACGACGTTTCGCCAGTAA